GCGGCGGGGGGTTCGGGGGGGCGGCGGCGGCGGTGGCGGGAGGAGCCCCGCGGGACCGCGACCGTCCGCCGCCCTGCGCCGTGGGCTTCGTGGACTGCCTGTACGGCACGGTGCCCAAGCTGAAGGAACTGCACGTCCATCCCCCTGGCATGCAATACCCGGACCTCCAGCAGGACGCCAGGCTCAAAGAAACCCTTCTCTTCGCGGCCGGCAAGGGCTTCTCAGACCACCAAACCCCTACAAGCGAATACCTCGAGTTAAGGGCCAAACTCCAAACCAAGCCGGATTACCTCGAAGTCCTGGAGAAGACCACGTACCGGTTCTGACCGCCCGCCCCCCGCCGCCCGCCCCGGTACCGCCGCATGCGAGTAGAGGATACAGCTGTGTGCTCTCTCCCCCGCCAGATGTGCGCGCTGCGGGGAAGGGCCGTTCTCAGATCATTACTCGACGAAGTGCCTTCGCAGACTTTTGCCAGCAGATGTTAATCAATCATTATTTTTTTATACTGAAACTGAGACTTTGACTGTGCCATGTCTAAGGTATATTATTAATATTATTATTATTATCGGGGATCTTTGTATTGATCCTGATTAAGTAAATTCTATGTGTGTCTCTCTCTCTCTTTTTTCTTTTCTTTTTTTTTTGTCTTTTTATTTTCTTTTTTTTTTTTTTTTTTTTTTTTTTTTTTTTTTTTTTTTGTTCCGTTGCAGTAAACTTCCTTTATATTTTCCCTTGGAGGGGAGGGGGAGGGAAGATGGCATTTTGTGGCTTGCTTTCTTCTTGCCCATCATGGCACAGATTCTGTACATTTATTTAAAAAAAAAAAAAGAAAAAAAATGCAAAGAAGCAAACGAGCGCAGTTTGCTGCATGCCTGGAAACTGCAAGAGGGAAGGGAGGGGAGGGTCTTGCTCGAATGTCTCACTCTTGTCTCTCTCCCTCCCTCGCACGCACACTCGCCCTCACCCGCACCGCCACCCCCCGCCGCCAGCCCGGCCCCTCCGCGCAGCGCGGGAGCGAGGTCCCGCTGGCCGCGGAGGGGAATCCCGTGGGTTGGTGGAAGCCACCGGGAGCCGAGCAGCCCAAAAGGATGTAACCACGTGGCGCACACACACACCTAGGGGATGCTCAGTGACACTTCATCATGACGCCATGGTTTTTTGGAGGACATCCGCACTTTCCTAATAAAAAGCGACATGCGAATACACAGAAAAAGGAAAAAAAAAAAGAAAAAAAAAAAAGCTACTGGGCACCTATCACTAACAGCTTTGTAGGAAGCACTTTTAATGTTTTCTCTCATACACACATACACGCACACGCACACACACACACAAAGGTACAACAATGTGCATATATTTATTCTGTAATTTCAAGTGAATATAAATTGTAAAGGTAATGTTTAATCATTGTACAGTGATGCGTCTGGTATAGCTTTCCTAATAAAACGTTTTGAAAAAAATGCATATATATATATATATATATACACACATATATATATATATAGGAATACAAAGCTTGAACCTGAAACTTCAGCTTCCCCCTACTGAGATTTCCTTCCCCCACCGTAACCTTGGAAGCTATTTTATTAATAACAGTTCAATGCACTGTGATGTTAACAGAGGAAAACCCTGTACAGCTTCTCTTGCCAAGATACCACCCGAGACTTTTAAAAAATCCGATTTACAATCTGTATTCCCACGTTGCACTGTACTTATGGCAGTTCCCCTGGATTTAAAAATAGGCAGCAAAAATTAAGACCGCGTCCTCGAGTGGCGTTTCTCGCAGGAGCGAGCTGGTTCCTCTGCCTGCTGGCAGCCCAGTCCCGGCCCGGCCCGGCCCCCCCCGGCCCCGTTGAATGTAACCCCCGGCCGCCTTATACCGGGGGAGCCGCGAAGGGGAGAGCCCGTAGCCTGCGTCGCCCTAAAGACCTTCAAATACGAGAGTTTTATACAGAAATATATCTATAAAAAGAATTTTTTCTTAACGGAACAGCGCTAACGGTAATTTGTTCCAGGTGAATTGCCATTATTTTATTTATTTTTTTTTTTTTTTTCCTTCCCTACTGCGTTAAAAAGATTTTTTCCCCCAGGGCATTTCTTCCAGTTGGTGGCAGGGGACTAAAAAATCCGATTTACAATCTGTATTCCCACGTTGCACTGTACTTATGGCAGTTCCCCTGGATTTAAAAATAGGCAGCAAAAATTAAGACCGCGTCCTCGAGTGGCGTTTCTCGCAGGAGCGAGCTGGTTCCTCTGCCTGCTGGCAGCGGAGGGGGGGCATTGCCTGGTTCTCGTGTTTTTTCGCACTAAATGCGAAGCGAGAAGTCAGAGAGGGGGGGAGGGAAGGGGGAAATTCAACCCAATTTCAAATTTCGGGAAAGGGTGAAGCCGGCTGGAAAAGGATCCCGACGGTTTCAATCCCTCGGCTCTCCCTCCTGCTGCCCCGGCGCGGCCGTTTGTTCCCCCGCTGAAACCGGTGCGAGACCAAAGACGATCGGATTTCCCTTCCCGGGAAGGTCCCGGTTGGTATCTTGTCCCCGTTGGTATTTTATCTTGTCCCCGGAGGCCCCGGGGGTCGGGTCGGGCCGGCGGCAGCAGCCGGTTGCTCCGCGGGGCCGCCAGGTGGCGCCGCAGTTCCAGCGCTGGCGGCGGCGGGAGCGCGGGGCAGGCGGGACCCCC